TGGCATTGTACAGAAATGGACAACCATATTGGTCTAGAAATGTTAATTTATTTTTATTTTTATTTTTTTTTTTTTTCCATGTGTACAGGGGTAACACATCGTACTAAATATGTAAGGTCATATCTACGTGGGTTTGATTACAGAAACTAATAAAGTATTCTCTAAATAATAAAAAAAGAATAAGATAAGACTATAAGAGCGAGAAGCAATTTAAATATGTTCAGGGACCATTTTCATCTCCAGAATTAAGGATTATTTTGATGTTACATCATTGCCTTTTCTCTTTTACTTTCCTTTTTAGTTTTATTTTAGGATTCCCTATTTTTAATGTTCATACAGAGATTTCTTTAACTGAAATACCGAATAGTTTCTTTGGTGTGAAAAACTATAATAGTACACAGGATCCTAATGAGATAATTAATAATGTGAAACAGGAAGTAAAGAGCTAAAGGTGTAGGGAAAGTGGGAAGGGTGGGGGAGAGGTAATAAGGGAGAGGAAATAAATATGAGAAACTGAAAAAATGGAAATAAAGTGTTTGTAAATGGGGAGGGGAGGAGGGGGTGAAGGGAGGGCAGGGACAAGGGGAAAAATGAGAATCAAGACCTATTATGTAAAGGTACAGAATCCCAAGGATGAATGTAATTGTATTGTATACCTAGATTGTACCAATAAACTCAAGAAAAGAAAAAACAAACAAACAAAAAACAGGAACAAAATCAAGCCTGTTGTTAAGACACAAGCTGCCAGCAACAGCAGATGAGCGCACAGGTACACATAAGTGAACTGAACTCGGGACCTTGTGCTTATGAGGCAGGCAGCAGCATCACAGAGCTAAATCCCTGGCCCTGAGTGAATTTCTTAAAATGTGCTATCACAGAGGACCATGAAGGCATGCCTCAAATACACACCACTGACTCACCACACACAGCAAGCTCTGCAGCCTGTCCACCACAGACAGGTGAAGTCAGAACTGGAGCACTACGCAGGAACTTAGGAGCTTCAGATGATTCACATCTAACTTACTTTTATAAGACATTCTGAATTTCCTATAAATATTTAATTAAGTAAGCAGTTGCTAACATGCTGCTAATGATTCAACTATGACACCAATGTCCACAGCTCATCCCCCCCGCTTTTTTGACAATACCGAGAATCAAACTCAGGACCTTGCACTCGCGGTGCAGGTGTGGTACCACTGGGCTAAATTCCTACCTCCCCACCTTTGGGTAACACTGGGGACTGAACCAAAGACCTTCACAATGGCCCAAACCTTTTTTTTAAATTTTGAGATAAGATCTGGCTAAGCTGCCCATGATCAGCTCCAACTTTCAATCCTCCTAAAATGCTGAGATTACAGACATGCACCACCTTGTCTAGTTCCATAGCACATCTTTAAGCTTCTGGATCTTTAGTGAAAAGAATCTGGAGATTTCCAAGTTAAGCTGTTTTAAAATGTTTCACATTTTCCTTATCTGCATAAAGCAAAACTATCTTAATTCACTAAGCAAACCAGACAAAATAAACAAATTAAAGCATGGAAAACCAACATGACATGACCACAGTCACTCTGACACAGACTTCACCAACTTACTGCATACTATAGCCCCCTTTACCTCTGGTTTTGTGCCCCAGGATTTCAGTTATTTTTGGTACGTATAAGTCTAAAAATATTAAATGGAAAACTCTAGAAATAAGTAATCCATCAGTTCTAAATTGTATGCTGATCTGAATGGTATGCTGAAACCTCACACCCTCACATCCTATGCAAGACAGAAATCCTCCAGCCAGTGTATCCACACTGTATGCCCATCAATCACTTGATAGCAACTCAATTATCACAGTGCTTATGTTCAAGCCACCCTTATTTTAATAATGGCTCCAGGCTAAGAGTAGCAGTGATGGCACTATCAATATATCAAAGAAAAGCCACAAAATGCTCCTCTAGGCGAAAGTAAAAGCTCTCAACTTCAGGAAAGAAAAAATACACTTTCAATCTCAGCACTCTGAAAGGCTGAGGTAGGAGGACTGCAAATTAGAGCCCAACCTGGGCAACTTAATAACTTAGTGAGACCCTGTCTCAAAATAAAAAAGTGTTGGGAGTGCAGACTGGTGCGATCACTCTGGAAATCAATATGGAGATACCTCAAAGAACTAGGATTAGAGGTTCCATTTGACCCAGCCATCCCTCTGCGTATCTTTCCAAAAGAATTAAAAGCATCAGAACACAGTGATATACATGCACCCATGTTTATAGCGGCACAGTTTATAATAACTAAAACTGGGAAACAGCCCAAATGCCCATCAACTGGAGACTGGATAAAAAAGATATGGTTTGCCGGGCGTGGTGCACGCCTGTAATCCCAGTACTCAGGAGGCTGAGGCAGGAGGATCGCTGTAAATTCGACACCAGCCTGTGATACAAAGTGAGTTCCGGGCTGGGGATTTAGCTCAGTGGTTCGGTGGCCTGTCTTGCAAGCGCAAGGACCCAAGTTCAATTCCTGGTACCAAGAAAAAAAAAAAAAAGAAAGAAATGAGTCAAAGTGAGTTCCAGATCAGTCTCAACTACATAGTGAGACCCTGTCTCAAAAAACAAAAGAAGAAGAAAGAAGGAAGAAAAAGAAGAGGAAGAGAGAAGAAAGAAGGAGGAGGAGGAGGAGGAGACAACGACGACGACTACGACAATGACTATGACATGGCTTTTCTACGAAATTGAGTCCTACTCAGCTATGAAGAATGAGAAACTAGAAACATTTATAGCTAAATGGATGCACACTGAGGCCATACTCTTAAGTGAAATAAACAGGACACACTTCAGTAAATACCGAATAGTTTCTCTGGTGTGAAAAACTGTAAGTGTAAGTAAGGTTCAAATGGTATAACTGAGTGTGAAATAGGAAGAAAGGAAGAAATGGCTATAGGGAAGGTGGGAAGGACAGGCAAAAGGAAATAAGGGAAAAGAAAAAAGGAAAAAATGGAAACAGTCTTTGTAAACAGGGAAGGGTAAAGCAGGTGAAGGAAGCACAGGAATACAGGGAAAAAAATAAGAACCAAGATTTGTCATGTAAAGGTACAAGATCCCAATGAGAAACGTAACTGTATCGTTTGCTTTAAATGCACCAATAAATTTAATGGAAAAAATTAAAAATAAAAAAGTGCTAAGAATTTAACTCAGCACGAATGCCCTAGACTCAATCCCCGGTAACTCAAGGAAAAACAAAATGTATGCTGCTGAGGTTGCTAAGACCCCACAGTTGGTTATCAATGTCAATCTCTTTTGTGTCTTATAAGTGAGACTTTATCACAGATGTGTACAAATAGGAAAATAACATAGCCTACGTAAGATTTGGTACTCTCTGTGGTCAGCACGCATCAGTGGTTCCTGGAACACACTGCCCATTACCAAGGACTGCTGTCTGGTCAGAGCTTGGCATGCATGCTGGCCACTAACCTATGTGTTTTACACATCCTTATCCGCTTTGACAACAACCTGTGAGACAGGTCCTATTAGCATCCTCATTTTACACAGAAAGAAACTGAGACCCAGAATGGTTGACAAGTCACCCAAGACACACAGCATCTGGGGTAAGTGGCAAAGCTAGAGTTTATCTCTCCACAACATTGATCCAGTCTGAGTTCCTATCTACTGACTTACGCTTTCCATTATAAATTAAGACTATGGACCTCAGCTCAAGAAAGAAATTCCCAGACGTAAAGTACCACTTATCGCTTACATTCCAGGCTCATGCCTATGATTTCACTTGAAAAAAGGGTTTTTCCTTCTAAGAAAACTCTGAAAATCCCTGATGTAGGGCATCAGTTGCTAAAATGAAAAGCACATGGGCCAGGGATCAGTAGTGCTGCCACCTGCCTCGTAAGTACAAGGTCCCGAGTTTAATTTCCAGTACCAAAAAAAAAAAAAAAAAAAAAAAAAA